CCCCCAGGGGGAATGACCACACTGCAATCCCTTCTCTATTCTCCTCTGGGGATCTTGGGCACACATGCACACGCGCCCGGCGTGAGTTTAAGCTGCCAGGTCCAGGACGCGAACTGTGGTTGACTACATGGGAGTCCAGCGACATAGCCATTACGCTAACTGCTGGTCCCAAGAATCATTTTAATTAAATTTATTTATTTATTTATTTTAATTTGATGGGGGTGGAGAGCCACCAGGTCCGGAACTCAAACCGTGGTCGGAGTCCAGCATCCTTAGCCACCACACCAACTTCTGGCCCCTTATGTTTTCTTATTTATCTTTTCATGGCATTTAAGACACTACTAATTTCTGTTTTGGTTATTTTGTCAGGCAGCAGGTATATCGTGATGGGCCACATCTACCATAAGAGGCGGCAGCTCCCATCCGCTCTGCTCCAGGTCCTGAGAGGGCGGCTCCAGCCTGGAGACGGTTTGCTCAGGAGCAGCAGCAGCTACGTCAGAAGGTTTAACCGCAAAAGGGCCCGGCAAGTTCAAGGGGCCCTTCACACCCAGTGCATCTGAAACATACTGGCCTGGCATTTCCGCATCACAAGAGACTTGGGGTCCAGCAACAAGCCAGGAAAGGTCTATGGTCATATAATGGGTCTTTCTTGGGGACAGGGCCCATCGTTCCTTTCTCAGCAACTAGCATAGTTCCAACTCTCATTTTGAAGTTGTCACGTTACGACACTGTGCTTTGGGGTTCAGCGGCCAAGTTACTCAGCTGTAGAAAGGGGCAGTGATTCAACGAGCTCAGGTAAAATCGACCTGTCCATTTCACAGATCACCGCTTCATGATAAGTTTTAAAATTATTTTAATGTAATACATTTGTTAGTAGAAAGAGTTTCAAAAAAGCAGTCTTGAATTTAATTATACAACTTTCAATAGTTTATATATCAAACCAAATTTTCTACTCAAAACATCACATTTTAAATTCTGTACATAATAGTAAGCGCACTAGTCAAAAGACATTTACGTATGACATGTCATTTACATCAAACTCTAGGATCAAAACCCAGGGCAAGTATTAAAATTCACATTTAGGGACCAGCAGTTGGCATAATGGCTATGTCCCTGCACTCTCATGTAGTTGACTGGAGTTCCAGTCCCAGACCCGGTGGTTTAAACTCACACCAGGTACGTGTGTGTGCATGTGTGCCCAAGATTCCGAGAGGAGAATGGAGAAGGGATTGTGGAGTGGCCATTTCCCCTGGGGGGGGATTCTCTCTGTCTTTCTGGCAAGTGCATGCGCCCTATAGCAAAAACCTCTCAAAAAAAAAAAAAAATCACATTTAAAGAGTACTTAAGGGCTTCATTCAAGGAAATTACCATTCGAAGCAATTCTTCCTGATGTACTGAAATGTAGGATGTAGTTTATTTTCATGCCTCCCTGCTCCTAATAACTCATGTTTTGTGCCAGACTGGCAGCTGTCCCAGTGCTAAGCATATTCGGGTGTATCTGACCTCATTTTTCTATTAAGACCAAGCGTCATGTTGGTGTTGGGATAGCAGTAAATCTTGCCTTGAGTCCGATCTTGGATGTACCTGGGTTTTTTAGCCTCATTAAGCCCCAAAGGTTCGAGAAAAAACCTTTCTCAAACTTCACTGGAAAACATTGAAACCAGTACTCATCAAGGACAGCACACAGGCAAGTGAGTTTTAAATGTTTTCCACCTGGTTTAAAAAGAGCTTATGGGGGGCCGGCAGGTGGCTCGGTGATTTCTCACTTCTCACTGCCTCTGTCTCTCTCCAGCGAGCACACATGCCCTAAGGCAAAAAACCTCTACTCTCCCCCCCAAAATGATAATAAACAAAAAAGGTCTTATCACTAGTTGAGTTTCAACTTCATACAGGTTTTAAACTTGGGTCCAAAGACAGTGCTCTTTGTTTCAGGAGGTTGAGCTGTACTTTGGTTAATGTGAAGCACAGTAAATAGACCCCAATACCTGTTTGAAGATTGCTTCCTAGAAATCCGCATTACGGAACCGCACTGACAGCTCCCAGCCTGTCCCATGCCCTCAGGTAGCTCTCAGTGTGTCTTCAGGGCCAGCAGGTGGCCTGATGGTTAAGGTCCCAGACCCCCCCCACAGAGCCAGCTGCAGCTCCAGTCCCAGCTCCTGCTGCCTGGAAGTCATGCTGAGCACCTGTGCGAGTGCACAAAATCCTGAGAGGAGAATGGAGAAGGGACTGCGACACAGCCATCCCCCAGGGGGTGATTTCTCACATCCATTTTCTCTTTCTCTGGCAAGCACACATGCCCTAATGGAAAAACCTATAAAAAAAAAAAAGTGTCTTTAGTCCATAGGGAACACACAGAAGCACTAAAGGCCATGTAACAAGGGCCACTAGAGAATTCATGGGAGGCAAGTACCAACAGCATTAAAATATAACACCTGGGGCTGGCAGGCGGCATGTTGGTTGAGGATGCTGGACTCCCACATGGCCAACTGTGGTTCGAATCCTGGATCTGGTGGCTTGCTTTCTCTCTCTCACTCTGTTCCTCTCTGGTCAAATTAAAATAAATCAATACATTTAAATTAAAAAATCAAATACATAATTAAAAAAAAAACCAAAACACCTGATACCATAACCTTATTTGTCCCAAACATGGGGGACACAGAGGTAAAATGAAGTTGAGTTTTGACTGTTCTGTGGTAGCACACTGCTGAGGGATAGTTAGGGAATTTCTCTAAAATGAGTCTTGTCCAAACTTAATAAAAAAGCTTTACTCAAATTGCTTCTTGGGAACGAACTGAATTATTACATGAATGATTGGTATGGACTATGCAGCCTCTGAGTTAAAATAGTGCCACTCACAAAAAATCAAGGCTGAATTACTTTTAAAGGATTACTTACAAATTTTATTATTTAAATATTTTGCTATAGGGTATGTGCACTTGAGAGAGAGGGAAAGTCAGAAAGCAAGCCACCAGGTCCGGGACTTGAACCATGGTCAACCCTGTGGGAGTCCAACACTTTAACCACCACTTCACCTGCTGGCCCCAAAAGCTGAATATTTAAAAAGTAACTAATCTTATTCACTCATTTATTTTAATTTGACCAGAGAGAGGGAAAGTGAGAAAGCAAGTGACCAGGTCCAGGACTCAAACCATGGTTGGCCATGTGGGAATGTCCAGTGCCTTAACCACCATGCCTCCCTGCTGATTCCCCAAAGCCGAATTTGTAAACAGTGATTTAACTTTGCCATCATTCGGGACAAGGTCTGGAAGGAAAGACTAGGGAAGCTCTGCTAGAGAACAGGGAGTGAGTGTGGGCATGAGCATAGGACGCAGCGAGAACAGACTGGTGATCCGGCTTAGTCAAAACATGCTAGGAACCACCATCCCGGAGCCAGCAGATGGCATAGCGGTTACCTCACTGGATTTCCATAGGACAGCCATGGTTTGAGTCCCGGACCCGATGGCTTGAAACACGCTGGGTGTCTGCACATGTGTACCCAGGATCCTGGGAGGAGAACTGAGAAGGCATTGTGGAATAACCAACCACCCCAGGGAGATAATTTGTCACTTCCCCTCTCACTGACTGTCTCTCGGGCTAGTGCCTGTACCCAAAGGCAAAAACCTCTAAAAAGTTTTCAAAAAAAATCACCTCATTATTTAGTCAGTATGTTTAATACAGTTTATGGAAAATGTTAACAAGCAAACTCATTGTCATTTCCAATCCTCCTGTCCTTTTTTTTTTTTTTTGCTATAAGGTGTGTGTACTCATCAGAAAGACAGAGAAATCACCCCCCAGCGGGGATGGCCACCCCACAATCCCTCCTCCTCCTTTTATCTTTCAGGATCTTGGGTGGGCACACATGCACTTGTGCCTGGCGTGAGTTTAAGCCACCCGTCCAGAACTTGAAACACAGTCAACTATGTGGGCGTCTAGCAATGCAACCATTACACCATCTGCTGGTCCCATGTCCTGTTGATTTTTCTTAGCCCAGGGGGCTGTGCTCCAAAGCCTTGAGGGCCCTTTGTGCTGTGTGCACACACCATAGTCCCTCATCAGTAAAATGCTCAGTTGCCTTCAAGAGTAATTTAACAGCACAGTTCCTTTAAATTAAGCCATTACTGGGCCAGCAGATAGCAGCTAGATCCCACATGGCCAACTGTGCAGTTCAAGCCCCAGACCTAGCAGCTTAAAGCAGACCAGGTGTGAGTGTGTACGTGCCCAAAATCCCAAGAGAATTGAGGAACTGGGATTACAGTGTGGCCATCTCCCATCCCCTCACCCACTGGAGGTGCTTTTTCACTTTCCCTCCCTCCTCCCTTTCTGTCTCCATGAGCACACATGCCCTATAGCAAAGGTTTTTTAAAAATGAGTAAAAAAAAATATTAAGCTGTTACTTTACAGTTCAACAACAAAGCAAACATATTCCCCCTTTGGTACTACCTTTTTACAACTTCCTTTTAAAAATATCATTTGGGGGACCAGCAGTTAGCATAATGGCTATGTCGCTGGACTCACACGTAGTCGACCGCGGTTCGAGTCCCGGACCCGGTGGCTTAAACTCACACTGGGGCGCATGTGCGTGCGTGCCCAAGATCCCGAGAGGAGAATGGAGGAGAAAGGATTGCGGTGTGGCCATCCCTTCTGGGGGGTGATTTCCTGCTTTCTGTCTCTCTGTCTGTCTGGCGAGCACACGCGCCCTATAGCAAAAAAAACTCTCAAAAAAAAATCATAAAAAAAAAGGCAAAAAAAACATTTGGCATTTTTTGTTTATATCTCTCTTCAAATTATCCAGGTCTACCAAGCACACATACATGCAAACACTTAAAAATGAACCTGCCACCCACAATCCAATCCATGACCTGAATTTCAGGACTTACTTGAGCAAGCAACAAAAAATTAGGTAATACTGGACTTTTTTTTTTTGAGAGGTTTTTGCTACAGAGTGGATGCACTCGCCAGAGAGAGAGAAAGCGAGAAATCACCCCGTAGGGGGGATGGCCACACCACAATCCCTTCTCCAGTCTCCTCTTGGGATCCTGGGCACGTACACACACACGTGCCCAGTGCGAGTTTAAGCCACTGGGTCCAGGACTTGAACCACGGTCGACTACATGGGAGTTCAGTGACATAGCCCTTACGCTAACTGCTGGTCCCAGATAATACAGGACTTTTATCATTTAAAAAATATAGCTTGCTTCTTTAGCTGAAGTTGGTCCAAATTAGATCAAGTGGTGTAATCTGAGAAAGGTCTTTTTCGGTATCTCATTGTAAAAAATATCTAGAGGGGCTAGCAGGCAGGATGGTGGTTAAGGCGCTGGACTCCCACATAGCCGACCATGGCTGGAGTCCTGGACCTGCTGGCTTGAAAATCATGAGTGTGTGTTCCTGAGTGCCCAAGATCCTAAAATGAGGAATGGGAAAGGGACTGCGGCATGGCCATGCCCTAGGGGAGTAATTTCTCACTTTCCCTCTTCTCCCCACCCCTAAGCGTGTGTCTATGACAAAAATCTTAAAAAAAAAAATCTAGAAGTATCTCAGAATTTTTTGAATGATTAAAAATGCTGCTCTGTTCCTCCCACCCCCACCCCAGTACTTACAACATACAACCATGTTAGCTTCAAGGACAAGATTTCTGGCCATAGCCTCAATCATGAACAGAGTGAACGCGATCATTGTCTGTCTGAGTCTGTGAGTGTGAGGAAGGTAACAGACCCCCAGGATGGCTCTTTAATAGTCAAAAAACACAGAGAAACGGAGTTTGCCTAATAGAAATGAACAAAAATAGGGAGAGAACTTTTATTTGCAGATTCTAGGAAGGTAGATTACAAACAACAGCAAAACTCAGTGTCTAAATAACACTCCAGGCCATTTGAAATATAAAAAGGTAGTTATGTGCTTTTAGAAAATATCTCTGAAAGTTCACATTCTTTTCAACTACTGTAGGGCATTAACTAAAACGTAACTCTTGCAGAATTTAAATAGGAGAAAAAAGCTTTGCCAATATTATGAAAATATTTTTTATGAAGTGGTTTCAAGGATTGTGAATTTGGTAGATGAAGCAGTAACCATCATTGAAAATAGTTTTGGCCAAGGAAATATACTAATGCAAATGATATATATGTACAGGCCCAAAGGTTGGGGAAGAAGCATCCAAACAGTATCACAAATGTACATATTTCTTCAATTACTGAAAGCAAAATAGCTTAATATGTGTATCTTACTGACTTGCAGAAGCCTGTCAAAAAGCAGAAGCTTTTTAAAATTACTTTTGAAAGACTAAAGTTGATAAAACTACAAAATGTATATAGTGATAGAAATTGCAAAAGGCTTTATACCATTAAATATACATAGGAAATTAACCTCCTCCTGGTCTCAGGATTTCAATAAAATTTACCTTTTTTGTACAGTTTGGCAATGCCAACAGCTACTGACAATATACCAACCAATCACTGTTTCATTAGAAACTGCACCAAACCCAATGTCAAAAACATTACTTTATTATTCTAGGATGAAATGTCCCATCAAGTACAAAAGAATTGCTGTTCAGAATTTGCGACAATTTGTTAAAAACATAGCAATCTATTGCCTACAGGTAGGAAAGGTCTTGCCGCGACAAGTTTTAAATGGTTAAGCCCATATATACTTTTTAATATATATATATATATATGAATAAATAGTACAGAAATACTGTGACATGATGAGATGCAGAATAATTTTGTAATTCATTAAAATGTAGAATTCTTGCATCAGCACAGTGCATACAATATGTAACATTTTTTTTAAAGTAAAAGGACAAAATAATCTGTATTTAACTACTCCCATCTTAATATTTTAAGCAAAAACTTTGTGTCCATGTTTTCATACTGAGCTAAATTAGTCTCTTTAGTTTGTAAGCATAGGCTTAAGTGACATCTTTATGTACAAAAAGGAATGGGCTTCATTAGATAAAATTAACCCAGAATAACCTGTACACCTGAGCCAGTAATAAGAAAAATTGGAACTGTAGCAATGTTTTTTTTTTTTCTTTTCTTTTTTCTTTTTCTTTTTTTAAGAAACTAAGATCTGGGAAAGGTTTTGCATAGCAGGGTGACATTAAAAACAGAAGGAAATGGAAAAAAAAATTAGGTAAATTCTAGAACACGGTAGGACAAAGCTAGTATGAATTAGTGCAAGACCTAGTAAAATTTCTGCAAAGCTGCATAATTCAACCATGGCACATTGTACAAAAGTGATGATTACAATGCCGAACTCAGTGTGGAAGGTTAGAACACCGAGAGGAAGAACATGCAAAATATACTTGCCTCTGTTGTTTCCATTTTCTCCCTACTGTTTCTACTTTATGTGGAAACAAACCAACCGAAACAAAGCCAACCAGCAAACAGACAGAAAAATGCAGAGGGTGAGGTCCTCAAAAAAAAAAATGCCCTTCATCAAACGTAGGTAGCTGGCTGTCACCGGCGATCCACCTGCTAGCACAGAAGGTAAAAGAACAGACAGGCGAAGGCCATGCGTGCTTTGTCGTTACCTTCTCGTTAGTACGGTCAACTGATGCAACCGGCTTAGCACCCCTGGAGATTTTTCTCTGCTGTGCTGACAATGGATCGGGAATGAGGTCAGGAAGGGCCACTACTGTCCTGGAGAAACCCAGGCACGACAGACCCTCTGCCTTCCATCACCTGCCAGCCCTCCCACTCCCACAGAGGCTTACAGGTAATCATTAGCGCACATTCAAAGACACCTTCATCTGTGGGAGAGAAATGATCTCCATTTATTTTGTTTCATATACATCCATAGTTGAATTTTAATACAAAAAGAACAAAATTAGAATCTGACAAATGTTTACAAACAAGATACCTTCAAATAGATTTTACTCCTTTGAGCCTGGTGCAGAGTAAATGACAAATCGTATTGTTTTAGTCAAGGCAACAGAGTCTGTAGTCCAGGACTACTTAGCCCAACCTTTATGCAAGCTTCATTTTTATCTACCATGAACAATAAACTCATTGTTGATTCCCAGTTGTGTGTGTGTGCACATGTGTACATAGCAGCTCCTTTCATAGAAAGAAAAGACATCTAGAGGTCGTCTTGTACTGTTACCTACAGGAATCATGATAAGATACAGGATGGATTACATGTAACCGGGGCTGGATTTTATAAGAAAAAATAATTAGCTGACAAATGAGGGCAGCAATAAAAAAGCGTCTTTTTTGCAACAATAAATAAATACAGTCAAAAGTTTTCTGTGAGACTCTAAACCAGCTTCTTCACTGAAGAGCAGACGTGGCATTTCCATGGAGTTACACTTGACCCCATAGTATCTTTTTTTCTTGCTTTCTTTTTCTTTTTTTTTTTTTTCAATAAACAAAAGTTTCCCGCTTCTGCCACAATAGTAAAACCATTTGATCTTGACAAGATAATGGTGTCGTTGACTTTGCTTTTCCCTTGTCCGTTGGACAAAATTGGCCAAGAATATAATTGGACTGTTATGACCAATAAAAACGAAGTGTAGGTCAAGTCTTGTCAGGATAACCTGACTAAAAACATCTGGCTCCTTAATTTAAAATAGTTCAGACAACCAGATCTTGCTGTGTTTTATGTTAGGTTAACACGCTGAACTTTAAGAAGCTGTAGACTGCAGTTTGTTGTTATGAGACCTACAGAATACAGAAAAAAGGGAACAATTAAGCACCCTTCATTTTTTGAAACAATGATGCTTTATGTGGAGGCCAAGGTCAGTCAGTCTGGGGGAAGCAGCCATGCTCTTTCATTCACCCTTGGCAAGCAGATGTCAGGGAATACTCGAGGACTTGTTAATCTAAAATATTAAACTTTTCACTGTACACTAAACATGATAGCTCACTGGAAAAAGCCAGTATTTAAAAAAATATATATATATATATTTGTCTAATAAAGAAAACAATATTTTTAGCCAATAGAAACATTTACAGAAACATTACCACTGTGCCAAAGAAGTGTGTGTATGTGTATTTACATCGATTGGGGCAGTATGAGGGGAAAATTATGTTAAAAAAGAGAAGTAGCGATATTAAAATCACATTTTCCTATTAAAGTCCAGAAAGTCTCCCTTCTAGTTTCACAGTTTATTCACAATGTTTGTTAGTAAACCAAATCACTGTACAGTTACCAGCACTAAGTCAAAGTACTTTATATAGTAATAGCAGATAAATACAGTAGTCCAAGTTTACAATTTTTAAATACATTGTTCAACGTGGCTGCTAGAACAACTTGTTTACCACTATACATCTTTTCTTCTTTTAACATTAAAAAATTATATTAACTAATCTGAACTTTTTTGGGGCAATTTTGAATTAAGTAATCACATGGTACAACAAAACAGTGACCCCAACATCCAGTTCTGATTCCAGTTAAAAATTCAGACTAAAGATATCACAATCTGTAAGAAAAGAAAGAACATGGATGGTGTAAATGATGAATTATCACAAAGTGCAGTAATGAAAATAAAGTGCAGACAATGCTGGAGATTATAAATTAAAAATGGGAAATATGGCAAAGGAAATACTAGAAATCCATAAATAAATCAAGTTTTAATGACTGGCTACTTATATGCTTTATTCTGTCTTACACCTGGAACTCAACAGAAATTCCCTAAAACAATGAGTTATCTTTACACAACTCTTGACACTGTAATTAATTTATTCAAGCAGAACTGAACAAACCTCTCATTTCAGCTCCCAGTTCTTTGGTGAAAATTATATAAACTTGAATGGATAAAATGCTACATAAAATAACCAAGTGGCGAGATGTCCTAAGTGGCCTCTCCACTACACAGACCTGACCCCAAGACCTCCTCCTCTCTTTCCTCAAACTCCTGTGTTTTGCCACAGGTCCTAAGAGGGCCATGCGGCCGCCTCTCCCTCATCAGCAGCTGCCACCACTCGTCCTGAGGAATCTGCCTGCAATCCTGGCACGAGAGTAGGATTCAAATTCTACCTCATGGTTACCACAAAAGGCCTTTCAAATTTGCCATTTAAAAAATTAATCAGAGGAATGAACTGCATGAGGGACCAGTCTAAAAGCACAAAGGGGCTTGTGACAAGAAGCTGTGCTCTCCTGTTGCAGCTTTACTCAACGTGAAGTGAGGTGCCTGGGATTGGTCACTTTGACCTTCCAGTTTTCTAGACAGTGCTATTTCTTCCTTTCTTTTTCCTTCTTTCCCTTCCTCTCTGTTTCTTGCTATAGGGCATGTGTGCTTGCCAGAGAGACAGAGAGAGAAAGTGAGAGATCACCTGCCAGGGGGAATGGCCATGCTGCAATCCCTTCCCCTCCATTCTCTTGGGCTTTGGAACATGTACGTGCTGTGTGCTGGTGTGATTTTCAAGCTGCTGGGTCTGGGACTCAAGTGTGTGATCCAGCACATTAACCTTTATGCCACCTGCTAGCTCTAGATAGTGCTTTTTCTTGTTTTACCAACTTTATTTTGTTTAAACCTTGCTATGTCAGAAAAGAACTGAAGTCATTTAACCATTTTCCCATCTCTATTTTTGAGTCCAAGTTATTTCCCTAAAATTTTACATTATATCTTTTGGGACCAACAGGTGGCATGATGGTTAAGGAGCTGAACTCCCACAAGGCCAACTGTGGTTCAAATCCTGGACCCTGATGGCTTGCTTTCTCGCTTTCTTTCCCTCCTTTTCTCTCTTTCTGATAAGCTCATATGCCCTATAGCAAATTTAAAGTATAATAAAAATTAAAGAAAAAAATAAAATTGTACCTTTATATGTTCTGCCCATAGAATGATTGCTAACAGCTAAAAATCAATGTAGTGTTATGTTGTCATGACTACCTAACACTTCCTTGCACATCTGCTGAGAGGGGATTCTTTCTTACTTTTATTTTTTCGAGGTTTTTTTTTTTTTTTGTGTGTGTGTGCTTTAGGGTGCATGCGCTCACCAGAAAGACAGAGACAGACAAAAAAAGAGAAATCACCCCCCCCAGGGGGATGGCCATAATCCCTTCTCCTCCATTCTCTCAGGATCTTGTGCATGCATGCACAAGTGCCCGGTGAGAGTTTAAACTACTGATCCAGGACTCGAACCATGGTCAATTACATGGGAGTCCAGCAACACAGCCATTACACCAACTGCTGGTCCCCTGAGAGGTCATTCTTACACAGTTTTTCCATGGAGTTTGTAACTCCCTTTCATTTTGACCCTTTAGATTCTTTGGCTTAATCAGAGCCTTATGTTTTTCTGCCCTAAATGGGATCACGTAAGTAAGTTTCCTTCCCCAGACATCTCCCTCTTGCAAAGGTCCTCCTACTACTTGGATTGCTTTCTGATAGGCCTACTGTCCAGATGTGACCCTGGGTCAGGGTATTTGTCACTGCTTTCTTTCTTTTTTTTAAGAGAGGTTTTTGCTATAGGGTGTGTGCACTTGCCAGAGAGAGAGAGACAGAGAGACAGAAAGCGAGAAATCACCCCCCAGGGGAGATGGTCACGCCGCAATCCCTTCCCCTCCATTCTCCTCTTGGGATCTTGGGCACGCACGCACACGTGCCCGTCGTGAGTTTAAGCCACTGGGTCCGGGACTTGAACTGCGGTTGACTACATGGGAGTCCAGTGACATAGTCATTATGCTAACTGCTGGTCCCTGTCACTGCTTTCTTTTCTCTCGTTTCTTGGACCCAGGTCTTAGTTTCATGATTTGCTTCCTTGTTTTTTAGCTAGTACATACCTTAAAAGAAAGGATGCCCTGAGTCCTTACATGATGGACAATGTATTTATTCTGCCTCTAGTTGTTCGGCTGGATATAGACTTCCAGGCTAAAAATAATTTTCTCTCAAACTTTTGTATTTATTCCTCTATAACCCTGTAACTTCCATGTTGTGGCAGGAGTCTGATTAATACCAGTCTAATTCTTGTTATTTACAAGTCGTTTGTTTTCAGCTTCCAAGAGTTTCTTTTACCCTTAGCATTTGGAAGTCCAACAGTGATGTATACAGGGTCCATCTTTTTTCCATTTGTCCTCCTGGTTTTTTATGTTCATTACCTATTCTCCCCACCCCTTCAGTCCCCCCAAGAACGTAAGCTGCCTGACAGTGGGAGCTTTACCATTCACGCTAAACTTCCAATGCTGGGACGCTGTGGGTTCTCAACAGTCATTTGCTCCACAAATGTATGTCCCATTTAATTAAAGTCTGCACTTCTCATCAGCTCAGGAAAGTTTTCTTGTGTTAGTCTTCTGGTAACTTCCTGTCCTATCTTTCTGAAGTTTCCATTAATGAATACTGGGACACTTTAATGTATTTTTTCTTTCATATTTTTCATCTCCTTGTCTTTCTGTTCTTTACATTGGAAAAATCCCTGGGTTCTAACTTTCACTACTTTTAACCAAACATTTTTAAAGAATTATTTATTTAATTCCATTTGTTGTTGTTGTTATTATTATTTTAATTTGACCAGAGAAAGAGAGAGAAAGGAAAAGGGAGAAAGCAATCCACCAGGCGCAGGACTCGAACTGTGGTTGGCCAGGTGGGAATCCAGCGCCTTTAACTACCACACCATCTGCTGGCCCCCCAATTTGTTTTTTCCAATCAGTCTTTCTGTTCATCAGATTGTTCTTTATTCCTAATACTGTTTTATATGCAATATTTTCTAAAACTTCTTTCAAGATGTTTTAGTTCTCTTTTGTTTTCTCTAGAGTCTTTTTTTTTTTTGCTGCCTCTTGATCTTTCTTCCATACCGCAGGTGTTCCTCTCAGCCAGGCCTTCCCGGGGTTCTATTAACATGGAGAAGGATAACTTAATGGACTAGATGTGTGTCTGGGAGGCCCCCTGTGAATGCAAAGGGCGTCCATGGTAGGTTTGGCTTTTCATGAGAAATGAGCTTCTGAATGTCAACACTACTGGCACTGTGGGCTGAATCACTGTGTGTCATGGGGGAATGCCCTGTCTATGGCAGGATAGTAAGCAGCCTCTGGCCTGTCGCTAAGATGCCAATACTTCCAACCCCATGTATACAGAACTTCAGTGAACTCTGCCATGCCTTGTATTATCTTCTAGAATCTGCATACTTAGAGGATCTCTAGGGGTCTACCATATATACTCCTTACTACGAGTTTATCCTTTTATTATTATTTTCTGGAGGACGCTGGCATACTGAGTGGGCTTCCTTTCATTTCACGTGTAGAGAATGGGTTAACAGAGGATGATAAAATCGGGAAAGTGTGAGTGATTTAGTCAAGTTTCTTGGTTCTTGCGTGCCTGCTTTCCCTCCTTTCTTGCCTAGTTCTGACGTTAGAGTAGAGCTCTCGGTAACCATCTACCTTGCTTCAGGAGCAGGGACACAACACCCTGCGGCTCCGCAGAGCACTGACAATTACACTGCGGTGCGCGGAGTCCCTCAGGAAGTTCACTAGGTAAGACAGTGTCCAGGCTCGCGCCCCGCCAAGGTCTACCCAAGCTGAATGTCCAGGATGGTCAAGTTGGCAGACTGGAGGATATGGGATGGTGTGGAATGGCTCACAGGACCACAGAGTGGTGGCAGCTATCGCGGGAAAGAACAAGCCTCTGACTAGAAGGCAATGAAGGGCTTGAGAAGGAATGACGGGCTGAGGTGCAGAAAGAGAAGGGTAGGAAGTTTTCACTGAGCTTCATGCAAAGTTGCTTGATTCATTTTTGTTACCACAGGTTCAAAGAAAAGGCCTGTGAACTTAAAGTCTAGTTTTGCGTAAAGAAGAAATATCCAGAAAAAGTAACATTTTATGATTTCAAAGGTATAAGAGGTGGAAGTTAGAAATAAAGGGCTTACAGCCCCTTTCTGGCCTTCCCACTGCGGACAGACATTCTCCTGCTTCCCTCACCCCGAGTGGATGTACACGGGTGACTGGCAGAGCCCTCACTACTTCTGTACGTAAGCCAGGGCATTTAGGACAGCATGGCCTTCTGTATCATCTGATGAATGCTCCCGAGTTTCATGAGATGATGCTAATATAAGGAGATCAAGACAAACCCACATTTTTTATGACTGAGCCTGCCACACGACCCTGGCACTATATCACAATACTACAGTCTTGATTTTTTAAAATTCAAATGATCATACGTTGTACTGAGTGATTCCTTAACAGTATAAGAGAGGAATTAATTCAGAACACTGAACATATTTGCTCACCTGCTAGCCTTGAATCCTTTCAATTTCTGTACAAAGAATGATTCAAGAACTTCTGCACACTGGTAGAAAGGGGAGTCACTTGGATTGTAGTAACGACAGTTATCAAAAATTTTGGTCATATCTGCCACAAACTCCGTCAGCTTTTCGTAATATCGTCTTTGTATTCTTTCTTCCATGGTGGCAAGGTCTTAAAAACACAAAACGTAAAATATTTGCAAAGCCTTCAGTTTTTCCTGTTTGACTATTCCCAACAATTCTAACAAGAATATGGATTTATTGGTCAAGTGGTTCTACTGAAGACTACTTTGCAATCACAAAGACCATTGAAGGACTCTCCCCATTTTTTTTTTTAATTGCCAGAGGATGCATGTGCTTGCCAGAGACAAAGACAGAGAGATACACAGAGAAAAAGCACCTCCCAAAGGAGCATGGATACCACAATCCTTTACCTCCATTTCTTGTACCAGCAGGATTTAAAGCACGTAACACCCAGCGTGTTTGTCAAGTTGCCAGGGTCAAGACTTGAATTGTGTAGTTGGCCAGATAGGATCCAGTTTCCAACACTCAGTGCTCAACTGGCATGCTATGGAGCTAACCTCCAATTCTGTTTTTGAATGGGATGGTGTGGGAGCGGCAAATGGCATGGTGGTTAAAAGTGCTGGACTCCCACATGGCCAACCATGGTTCAAGTCCCAGACCTGGTGGCTTGCTTTCCCTCTTTCTCTGTCTGTCAGTGGTAAATGAACCTGACAGTCAAAAAATAAATAAATAAAACTAAAAAGAAAATTCTTTAAAAAAAGAGAAAGAAGTTCTTTCACTTTCAGTTAACTACACAGAACAGCTTCTTCATTGAACTGATCTGAGATAAAGGAAACCAATGTAATTTATGGATTTCTAAGTATAATAAAACCTCACATGAAAACAATGAAGTACAGTTATTGTGGAGAGCAGCCAATCTGAAAACGTGGTGGCCTGTAGACACATGCAGAAACTCGCTCTTAAGCTTCTCTAGCCGGGCTACTGAGAAGCAGCTACATATGAAAGCAGTGTCTGCCTGCTGTCAATAGTTATATTCCTGTTGTTCCTTTATCAGACTGTCCCCCAAAAAAGATCAGAGAAATTATATGGCACTAGTCATTATCACATCTTCAGACGATTTACATCCAAAACCAACTGGCTTTGCATCCCGATTTCTTCTCCCCTATTCTCTATGCATTCCACTTCCTTCTTCCCCACTGCCTTTGCATCCTGTTTTCCCCTTCCCCATTTTCTGCCCTTTAAAAGAATAAACCTGAGGCTGGTTCTGGTTGCAACTCCTCCATCAGAGAAGCTGTGCCCACTGGATCCTTGCTTTTCTGTACTTGTGCATCTCGGTGTGTTTGTTATTGCGTCTATTTCTTTCTTTTTTTTGGAGAGGTTTTTGCTACAGGGCGCGTGCGCTCGCCAGACAGAGAGAGACAGAGACAGAAAGCGAGAAATCACCCCCCAGGGGAGGATAGTCACGCTGCAATCCCTTCTCCTCCATTCTCCTCTCGGGATCTTGGGCACGCACGCACGCACACATGCCCAGTGTGAGTTTTAAGCCACTGGGTCCGGGACGCGAACTGTGCTTGCCTATGTGGGAGTCCAGTGACATAGCCATTACGCTAACTGCTGGCTCCCCCAAAATAATTTTTAAAATAACAATTTGCCATAGGGCCTGAGCACTCACTGGATAGAGACCGAAAGAAAGTGAAAGGAAAATAAGAAAACACACCCCAGAGGGACAGTCATGCCACAGTCCCTTCTCCTCCATTATTTTCTCAGGATTTTGGGCATATGTGTATGCACATGCGCCTGGTGTGTTTTTTAAGTCACCAGGTCTGGGACTCGCACCTTAGAGTTGGCCATGGCGGATCTAGCAGTCTTTTTTTCTTTTTATGGATCCAGTAGTCTTAACCACCATGCCACCAGCTGACCCTAGATAAATTATTTTTGATACAATCATAAATAGCTGTTGTTTACTACCCTTTTTTTCCCCCCCTAGAAATTAGGCTACATTGTCTGGTATCTCTACTATGAATCTGCCTTCCTTTGGGAACAAATGAGGAAGAGGAGCAGGGAAGAATGAGAGGGGTCAGGTAGATCTATCCCATTCACTGATTTAATTTATTCCTTTTTTTAAAAGAGAGATTTTTGCTATAGGGCACGGGTACTCACCAGAGAAAAAGCAAGACAAAAAGCAAGAAATCACCCCCTCAGTGGGGATGGCCATGTCACAATCCCTTCTCTTCCATTCTCCCCTTGGGGTTTTGGGCATGCACACACATGTGCCCCGTGTGAGTTTAAGCTGCCAGCTCTGGGACTCGAACCATGGTTGACTATGTGGGAGTCCAACGACATAACCATTACACCATCTGCTGGTCCCTCATTGATTCTTTTTTTTTTTTTGGAGAGGTTTTCGCCACAGGGCGCGTGCGCTCGCCAGACAGACAGAGACATAGAGACAGAAAGCGAGAAATCACCCCCCAGGGGGGATGGTCACGCCGCAATCCCTTCTCCTCCATTCTCCTCTCGGGATCTTGGGCATGCACGCACACGCGCCCGGCGTGAGATTTAAGCCACCGAGTCCGAGACGCGAACCGCGGTCGACTACGTGGGAGTCCAGCGACATAGCCATTATGCTAACTGCTGGTTCCCCCCTCATTGATTCTTTTTTAAAGCTACGTAACACTCTACTCATATACTGTTTGATTTAGCTCATCTTCTATTAATGGCTACTTATTTAATTGCCAGTGTCTTTGAAATTATAAACATGGCTGCAATGAACAACATACTTGCATACACATACATCCTAAAAAAATAAAATAAAATTGCTTGGTTCAAGGGTATACACATTTAAACTATAATAGAAACTCACAATTTATCCTCCAAAGTGGATATAAGCCAATTATAGTCCCACCAGCTTTGCTCAAGATACCCTCATGATGTATCAGTTTATGGAAGATAGATAAAATATCTGCAGAGACTTCTGAAAAACACTTCATCAACTCAAGTACTTACCCATAGGCTCCTTAATAACACCATAATAATCTGGTGCATCATTAGGATCTACAGGTTCAAGGAAAGGCCAGGCCATCTTATGGGCCTGAAATGAAAACAAAACAAAACAAAAAAGGCATCATCACTGCTAGGGGAGACACTAATCCTATTTAAGTTTCCCAGCTGAGTTACTATGTCAACTGGCCCTTAAACTCCAAGAGTCGGTTTTAAGCGTGGCAGAGGACGTTATTTACACTGGATGGCTGCTGCTCCAGCCACGAACGCCCAGATGAGCATACTCTGTGGTAACGGGTCCGAAGTCTGCACAGAGCACGGTGGTGTGGCAGTGAAGCACCAGCTCAGGAGTGACAGAATCTGCACTCTGGTCCCTAAATGACGACCTGCCAACTGAGCAATGCTGGCACTGCCATACTACTACACAGCGGGGGTGGGACGGGTTCAGCCAGTGGAGTGGTTAGCAGTGCTGGCTAAGGAGGCGGCAGAGATGCGATGTGAGACAGCATTCGACCACATCGAAACTGGGCTTCTTTCTCGGTTCTTTTACTTCCTGTGATTATGAGTGTGAGAGGAGGTTTCGATCTAGAGCTGTATGTCTGGAATGTATCTCTATCACTTGCTAATTTTATAAGCCATTCTTTTCCCCTTTTTATTTTTAATAAGAGATGAAATAACATAGAATTTAAACAAGTAGTTTTTCAACCTATGGTGGTACAATAAATCTTTCAAAATAAAATTTTGCTAAAAAAGTGAGTCATTTTAATGAGTGTTAAGTGAGTGACAGTTGACTGTGGTGGCATGTGGATGAGGTCAACCTCACGACACTAGCATGTGAATGACCGACGTTTGTCAAGTATGACACTAGACTAGCTGGGAGTCAGTAAATCATCATGCCCTTTAAGGTTGGAAAGTTTAAACCCAAGAGATGTTTCTAAAGTCACACTGGCTGATACCATCTTCAAACCTGGGGTGCGGAGTGGTTTCTTACCTGTAAGGAACGCAGCACCCTCTTCAGCCCCTCATAGTCTTTCTCCGTTAGTGGCGTGAGCACTGTCATGGCATCCTCTGTCGACTGGCACTGTGGACAGACATACTCATCAATGAGCTCTGCCTCACTTTGCAAGATGCCAACACAGCGCCCATGGTACCAATTCTGACACCGATCACAGCCAATATAAAATCTGCAAGATCCGAAATGAAAATGTGAGCTCGAGACAGATGGGATGTCAGCAGTTACAATTTACTTTTAAAAATAATAAAACATGCACCTGAAAATTGGCTAAACCCTGGGATATAAAATAATTTTAGTATTATGGTTATTTAATACTCTTGAGATCGACATTCCAATGTGTTAATTTAGTATTTTTGATGTTAAAAACAAGCAGTAAAAGTTTATTAAGAATACTATGTAATCTTGGAGAACCAATTTGAAGAAAAAAGTAACACGTAATTGGTTTTAAAGCAGAAATTGAAGTAAAGCCAAAAAAATCTTTCAACTAGTACCGTATCAAATGGTAGTTCAAAATCCTATAAACGTATAAAGAGAGTCTCAGAGCTTACACCCAAATTAATATTTTTCTAACCTATAATAAGTGCCATTTCAAACACTGATAAAGTCCACGAGTCAGGCTATTTTAATCTCATTCATTTCTAGGTAACATATTGAAGAATCAAATCTACCATTAAACCACATTTTTCCCGATGCATCTCAAACATTCACTATGAAGCAACATAAATTTGGAAGGGGAGGTAAAGAGGGAAAAAAAGAGGGAAAAAAATTGGAAAAGAATTTGTAATGTAAGTGTATAAAATAGCAGAAAAAAATCTTGCTTTTTATTTTAAAATAAAGAAGTAACCAGTCAGAGCAATTTGGCTTCCTAAATTATTAAATATGATGCTCTTATCAGAACTCACTGTGACTCATCATAAGGTGTTCTGCAGATACAGTACAATTCCTCACTGCTGCCCTCTTGTGCCCGTTTACAATCATTACAGATGTACACATCCATTTTCTTAGCCTCCTTTTCTGTGATGCCAACACATTCTCCATGATACCAGTTAGTACAAAGATCACAGCCAATATAGAACCTAAAAGTATTCACAACGAAAATGACAATGTAGTTGTCATTTTGAGCTGCATGGTACTTAAACCTGTCTTCCCTACCCTGATTCACTTTCTTACAGGATAATTTTCTGCAATGAGTCAGCTAAACATCCTGAATCCAACCATTCTAGCCCTGGCGAACGATAGCATCTGACGCGGTATCGAGTGTGGAACATAAAGGCACTCACATCAATTTCAACAAATACACTGTTTAGTGGATAATGGGTCTTTAAAACATACTGGAATTTGAAAAAATAAACACACTGATGGTAATGTCTTCCTCTTAATGAAATGTGTGTAAAATTGGAACAGGCACGAGAACCAAAGCCAAAGAATCAAAGACTTACATCTATCAAACCTATTCCACAGAAGCCATTTCAATAGCAGGGCTATTTCTTAGATAGGTTTGAAAATGTATCTCAATTTAAATTTGAAAACAAAGCAAAGCGCAAACACCAAAGTAGAAGTTACACTACAAGGAACATGCAGGTCAGCCAGGTGTAAAAGATAAATGGCCAAAATGACATGAAGAAGAAAACTCAGAAAGATATGTGTAGCTATTCAATTTCAACCAAGTTTTCTAAATAAATATTGGGATTTAATCTGATTAAACTGACCCCTCGTAACGGATCACGACCTGGGCCAGCGTATCGGCTAACACAATGTGTCCGACAATGTGGGGAGTGGCCCGGCTGACTACCTGGTGAGGAACTCGGAGGGAGCAGCATCAGTTCAAACCCGGGACCCGGGGACACAAGGCACGGAGACGACGTGGGGACCGTTATCTGAAACAATGGCAGCTCTGCGGTACTGGCTAGGTGGGGCTGCGTGATGGTGTAACTGGGGGGACATACAGTTAACCCTGTGGTTTTCTGATGGAGGAACCCTAGTGACAAAATGAAAGGAATCTCTGGAGGAAGCACTGACGCAGTGGGTCTAAGCGTCAGGAAGCAGGATGCAGGAAGCAGGATGCAGGAAGGCTGTTTCCGCGCTGGAGTGAGAACTAGCCTGAGTCACAGGGAGCCACACTGGCCTTGCTGGTGCCACTGGCACCCTGTGTCCTACCAAGACATTTCTTGGTAGATTCCCCTGCAGGAATGGAGGTAGTCCTCAAGTTTCAAATGAGCTCAGGGGCAAAAGTAAAATACCACCATGGGGTCTATCCTATTACCACTTTGACTCTCACGTTATCCTTGCTGCCAAAGGTGGTGGGTCTTCTGAGGTAGTCTGAGCACTGCAGCCACAGGCTGATGGGCTGTGCTGAGGCATGCTGAAGAGCTCAGTGTGCGGCCATTCTCCCTAGGTTCCCAACCAGCCCGGGACTAAGCGGCTAAGACACACTAAGTCAGCCCACCTAAACAGGAGTGAATGAGCCTGTCGCACTGAGATGTTAATGACAAACTGAAAAATATGAACTATCCACACATGATGAGGCAGTCTCAATAGAATAAGTACATGTACATGTGAACCTCATTTCATGCAGCTTAGGTATCCCAAAAGAGCCGTGAGGTGGATTTCTGTAATCTGACCACTTTAAATGGGTCAAAGACTATTTGTAATTTAAAGAAATGCCTAGGCAGATCCTTTTGTATAGAAAGTACCTCATGATCTGTTTTGTCTCAGAAATCATTCAGTATTATTTTGCTTAAAGTGAGGCACACGTGTTTAGACTAAGGGAAAAGTCAGTTAATAGGGTTCCACTCTTTATGCTATAATTTTCAATGAAGAAGACAATGAAAAGTGAAGATGCCTAAACCGATCTGTTTAATTCAGCACACTGTTAAATCTTCCAACAGAAAGTTCTCACGTGGCACTTATGGACAGATGAGAATTCAGACAGCGGCCACCAGAGAGCTTCACTGTTACTTTAAACATCATTAGAGACCACAACTTTATTTTATGAATTGATTAGGCATCTCCTTAAAGTAGACATTAAGCATTTCTAAGAATACATAATACATTTTTAAGCACAAACTTTTTGGTATTGTAAAAAATATTGTGGTTAGTTGAGACTCAAAAAGCTGGCCCACAGTTTACTGTTCAAAAAAGCAGCAAAATACTTAGCTGAGTGATGGTAATGACCAAAAAAATGAAACTACATTTACAGATGTAGTATCTCTAAAATCTTGTTTATATCACCAAATACAAATCACAACTATCAAAAACAGCTTCCATCTGCCATACTTATCAAGTTTCTGAGTATCATACTTGAGGAATGGGTGAAAAGAATACATTTTGCATTTTTCTGGCTTTTCAGCCCCAATAAGAAAGCCAGAACTTTGAAAAAACAACTAAGTTGCAGCTTTCTAATAATAATGATAATTATGATGATAATAATAACATCACCTCAGGAATTGCTTAAAATACAATAAAAACCAAAAACCGATCAAATTCAAAATCTCCTGCATTATTCATATTCGGACAGTTTGAGGATCTGATGTGATCGCAGGGCTATGAACAGACCCCAGAGAGGATGCTCTCACTTCTGAACAGTGATCGCTTTGGTACCTCCTTCTCCAGAGAGCATTACTGATGGATCTGCAGTTAATCCAGAGAAGAGGGGAAAGCAAAAGAGCAACAGAAAGCTTGTTTTTGACAGAAAAGAACTCGATGAAAGACAAACAAGAATCATGAACACATGAAACAGCAAGTTCTACTTCATTAGCGTCAAGAGTATCAGATGCAAGACCACAGATGAGACATGATTACCCTTAAACTTAACTATTTTCATTCAGATGGCTACCAATATGCTTGTTTTCTTCAAAACTTTCCATTTAACAGCTAAACTTTTAAGAAAATTAAGTAGAGCACATAAAGATCTACTCACTTAGATTCATCATAAGGCGTTTTACAGATACAGTAAAGCTTTGTGTCCTTCTTGGTCTCCTTTGAGGTAGTAGAAATCATTTTCTTCTTCTTGGACTTGGAGCTTGAGTCTTTCTCCTCTTCCCGCTTCCTCTTCTGGGAAGCAGCAGGTAACGTGGGTGCGGGTGTGGGTGGGAGGCCCGTGTGCTGCAGGGCAGGTGCAGGGGGTGGCGAGGGTGGAGGGGCAGGAGGAGCTGCAGTCACTGCGGGGGTGGGGGCAGCTACTATAGCGGCCTGCGCCACCTGTATCAGGGCTTTCTCTTTCTTAATTTTTAGGTCTCTCTTCAGCTCCTCCTGTAGCCAATGAATGATAATGCACGGCTATCATTATTCCATTTAACAGCTAAACTTTTAAGAAAATTAAGTAGAGCACATAAAGATCTACTCACTTAGATTCATCATAAGGCGTTTTACAGATACAGTAAAGCTTTGTGTCCTTCTTGGTCTCCTTTGAGGTAGTAGAAATCATTTTCTTCTTCTTGGACTTGGAGCTTGAGTCTTTCTCCTCTTCCCGCTTCCTCTTCTGGGAAGCAGCAGGTAACGTGGGTGCGGGTGTGGGTGGGAGGCCCGTGTGCTGCAGGGCAGGTGCAGGGGGTGGCGAGGGTGGAGGGGCTGGAGGAGCTGCAGTCACTGCGGGGGTGGGGGCAGCTACTATAGCGGCCTGCGCCACCTGTATCAGGTCTTTCTCTTTCTTAATTTTTAGGTCTCTCTTCAGCTCCTCCTGTAGCCAATGAATGATAATGCAAGGCTATCATTAGAACTGTGTGAATACGTGATGTGGCCAGATGACAAGACGACACCCCCCACCCATCCTCAGAGTAACTCCACAGTCCAGCCTGTGCGTTTTAGTAACTTCAAGTTAAGAGTTTTCTTACTGTATCCTAAACCCAATTAAATTAAAATAATGATCAAATGGATAAATAACGATTAGAGCACTGGTAGTTAACTTCAAAGAGGAGCTGAAAGAAAGGTGTGTAAGTATCTAGAAAGGACATTGCCAGGTCAGCAGGTGGCAGGCAGGTTAAGGCAGCTGGATCCCACATGGCTGACTGCGAGGTTGAGTCCTGGAACTGGCAGCCTGAAAAACATGCCAGTCAGGTGTGCCTGTGTACCAAAATACCAAAAATCCCCAGAGAAGAGGGAAGAAGGGATTGCGGCATGACCATCCCCCCAAGGGAAGTGCTTTCTCATTATCCCTCTCTGTCTCTGGTGAGCGCATGTGCCTTATGGCTAAAACAAAAACAGAAACAAAAATACAACACCCTTGGCTTGCCCTGGCCTGGTCATCTCAGTGGTTGTTCAGGACGAGACATCCAGTGTCCTCTGTCACGGGCTCCCTTCTTCTAGATGCTCTCTCTCTGTGTCCTCATAGGGAGACTGAAAATGAACTGAACGTGAGCGTCAAAACGTGGTCCGAGCAGCATGAAACCAGTGATACAAACCTGCCCATTTCCCTCATGTTTAGACCTGCAGAGTGCGGGAGAGTCAGGCAGTAGGACATACTATTTCCCCAGCACATGTGCTGTGAGTTAAAATCCATACTTTTCTGTCACATGGCATATTTCTTAGACACATCTCTGCTATTTGGTGCTACAATTTATTCCTGAAAATGATGATTAAATCCAATTGTATTACTGACTGGCATTTGGGAGCAGATGGTGTAAATAAATAATAGCTAGGACCAAGGATATTTAAAACCTGGGATGTTTATAAACTTTGGTATGAATTTAAAATATCGAAAACATTCCAAGAGCACTTTCTTCATAATAAAAAAAATTTTTTTTTGAGAGGCTTTTGCTATAGGGTGTATGTGCGCTCGCCAGAAAGACAGAGAGAAAGAGAGACAGAAAGTGAGAAATCAAACCCCCCCCCCCAGGGAAGATGACCACACTGCAATCCCTTCTCCTCTCGGGATCTTAGGCACGCACGCACACCTGCTTGGCCTGAGTTTAAGCCGCCGGGTCTGGGACTCGAACTGTGGTCGACTACATGGGAGTCCAGAGATATAGCCATTACACTAACTGCTTGTCCCAATAGTAAATTATTTTTATTTCTAAATTTTATACTCTTTCAGAACCATAATTTAGATAACCAACACTATTTATTCATTTTTAACATTTTTTGCCATAGGGTGTGTGTGCTCTCCATGGACAGAAACAGAGAAAGTGAGAAATCAGCCCCGCAGGGCACGACCACACTGCGCTCCCTTCTCCAGTCTCTTCTCAGGATTTTGGGCACATAGGCACATGGTTGTGGCATGTCTTTCAAGATACTGGGTCCTTAGAACCAACAGTTAGCATAATGGCTATGTCACTGGACTCCCACGTAGTCGACCGCGGTTGGCGACCTGGACCTGGTGGCTTAAAACTCACACCGGGTGCCTGTGTGTGCATGCCCAAGATTCCGAGAGGAGAATGGAGAAGGGATTGTGGCGTGACCATCCCCCCTGGGGGGTTATTTCTCGCTTTCTGTCTCTATGTCTCTCTCTGTCTGGCGAGCACACGCGCCTTATAGCGAAAACCTCTCCAAAAAAAAGAGAAAAAAGATACTGGGTCCATGCAGTTCGCCATATGGGATCCAGAGCCTTAAATGTGTCCCCTGTTGGCCCTATACCTTTTTTTTTTTTTAAAGAATTATTTTATTTAACATTTATTTATTTAGTTAGTTATTTTAATTTGATGAGAGGTGAAGAGAGTAAGACAGAGAGAGAGAGAGGTGGGGGTAGTGAGAAAGCAAGCTGCCAGGTCTGGACTTGAACTACGGTCCATCATGCACCCTTAACCGCCACGCCACCTATCCACGCCTCATTTTATTTTTAAAAAATATGTAATTGCCAGAGGGCAAGGGTGTTTACCAGAGGGAAGGAGAGAGAGACAGAAGGAAAAGGCATCCTTCCAATGGGGTATGCCCATGTGAACACAAATGTACATGGCATGTTTTTAAGATCTAGTTCCCTTATCCACTATGCTAAAGGGCTGGCCTAGCACATACCTCATTTATTTTCTTTTTAATTTTTTGAAGTTTGCTATAGGGTGTGAGCTACTGGCCACAGACACAGAAAGCATTTTTTTTTAAAAATAAAGGTGGACCAGTAGGTGGTGTGGAGTTTGAAGCACTGGACACTCCCACATGGCCAACATGGTCAGGAGTCCCGAACCTGGTAACTTGCTTTCTCACTTTCTAGCTCTGTGTGTGTGTGTGTGTGTGTGTGTGTTTCTCTTTCTGGTCAAATTAAAAATGAATGAATAAATAAAATTAAATAAATAATTATTAAAAAAAAGATAAAACAACAACCAGCAGATGGAGTAATGATTACGTTGCTGGACTCCCACGTAGGCGACCATGATTCAAGTCCCAGACCTGGAGGCCTGAGACGCATGCTGGGCACGTGTGTGTGCGTGCCCAAAATCCTGAGAGGTGAATAGAGGAGAAAGAACTGTAGTGTGGCCATAACTCTTGAAGGGTGGTTTCTTGCTTTCCGTCTCTGGCGAGTACTTAAGACCTATAGCAAAAATCTCTCTTTAAAAAAAAAAAGAGAGAAGGCATACTTCATTTATTTATTTATTTATTTGGGGGGACTAGGAGCATGCACACACATGCAAACCCAACATATTTTTCAAGCCACAGGGTCTGGGACTCAAACCTCACAGTCTGCCATGTGGGATCCAGCTGCCTTAACCACCAGGCTATGAGTCAGCTTGGGAACTGGCTTTTTTTTTTTGGGGGGGGGGGATTTTCACTATAGGGCATGTGCACTCGCCAGAGAGACAGAGAGAGACATAGAGACAGAAAGCGAGAAATCACCACCCAGGGGGGATGGTCACGACGCAATCCCTTTTCCTCCATTCTCCTCTCGGGATCTTGGGCACGCACGCACACGCGCCCGGCTTGAGTTTTAAGCTACTGGGTCCGGGACGCAAACCATGGTCGACTATGTGGGAGTCCAGCGACATAGCCATTACACTAACTGCTGGTTCCCGGAACTGGCATTTTAAAAAGTGAAAATTGCGAGGCCGGCAGGTAGCATGGTGGTTAGGGTGCTGGACTTCCACATAGCCAACCATGGTTCAAGTCCCAGACCTGGCGGCTTGCTTTCTCACTTTCCCTCTCTTTCTTTCTTTTGTTCTGTCCTTCTCCGGTCAAATTAAGATAGATAGATAAATAGATAGATAGATAAAACAGTGTGTTTGTCCTTTTCTTGTAAAGTTTATTTATTCCACAAGTGAGAGGGAGAGACAGACAGACAGACTGGTCAGGGTCTTGCCACCATGACCCTTCCCCAGCATTAGACAGCCCAGACAGCGAGCACAAGCGTGCCTGGAACCCTCAGGGAGGTCTCCCAGTGTGGACTAGCAACCTCCCACGTGGGTCTCCACCGGGGAGTGCTGCATTTTACCTCAGCACCACATCCAGCCCTTGTCTTTATCTAAGACTTCTTGTGAACTGTAAGAACACTAGTTCTGCCAGAAATACCACAAAAACGTTTTCCCGTCTGTTAACAGTATTTCAATATTAATGGCTATTTTTTTCTATTCAAATTTCCTTCTTCTATCGGTGAGTCTATCTTTTTACCTTTCTGGCACTTATGATTTTATAAGGCTTAGGAGTGGTTTCCCCCACTCCAAGATTTACAAAACGACAAACACATTTTCCTTTTAGCATTTTTGGGTTTTTCTTTTTTATATTTAAATTTTGAACTATCTGAAATGTATCCTCCTGTTGAGGTGAAGAAAGTACTTGGTTTTTTCCCCCTTTCCTGGCTTATCACTCCCCAAATCCTTGGGAACTCCAAAGGATTAGTCTTTTTATTCTAACGATGTGACCCTGACCAAAGGCTGGTCAGAAAACTTTAGGATCAGGCTAGTCAAGGAAGGCCAAGGCAGCACCAGAGAGCTGGGACTTTCAGATCCACCCCAACCTCCAGAGAGTGGGGAGAGGCTGAAGATCAAGCTGATCTTCAATGGCCAATGGTCAATCTATCAAGCCTATATAATTAAGTCTCCATAAAACACCCCAAAGACAGGATTCAGAGAGCCTCTGGGTATCTGAATGCACAGAGGTTCTGGAGGGTGGTGTACCCAGAGAGGGCATGGTGGCTCTGAGTCACCATGCCTTGCCCTGTGGATCTCCATCCAGCGTTCATCATAGCCTTTGCAATGTCCTTCCTAAGAAGTCAGTAAACTTTTCCCGAGTTCTAGGAGCCACACTAGCAAAATGAAATTGAACCTGAGGAAGATATGATGGGAAGCCTAGGAAAAACAACCAGGGCTTGTGACCAGCATCTGAAGAAGGAATCCTCAGCATGTGGAATCTGAGGCATCTCCAGGTAGATGGTGTCAGAACTGGATTGAATTGGAGGACACCCAGTGCTGTTGAGTGTCCTCTGAGGAAGGATTGCTTCTTTGGCGTGTGGAAAAAACCCCATACTTGGGCCACTGAAGTGTTCTGTTGTAGTGAGAGAATAGTGGAAGACAGCGAATTTGTTTACTCCAGTATTCCCAGAGCCTATCAGCATGGGGCTTTGCTGGCATGGTCCTGGCTCACAGCAACATGGGGGCTTGGGAAGAGACAGGGCAGGGCACAGGAAAAGGGCGCTTGGATTCCTGGGTGACCACATGGTGGCCATGGTGTGGGGCAGTGGCTGTACTGCACTCAGTAACTGAAAGTGAAAATTATCAATGGGGTTTAGAGACAGAGTCGGCTCCTAGGGAGCTGGTTCAC